CCGAATTAATATGATATTTGCTTTATTTAAATGTATTATCCTAATTTTCATTTCAATATATGGCTTAGTATGGTCACAAAACAATGTCGAAAATCTATGGATGCCTGAATATCCGCCGTCAGAGTTGTTTCATACAAGTCCTATTGGAAATTATGGCACTGCTATGCTATTGGTACTGTATAATATATAATATCTTTAATTCCTTTTTACTTAAAAACTTACATGAAACTCGAAAAAATATAGGTCTTACAGTATTTTCATATGAAGGTGTGTTAATAAGCTCTAAAGTATTCCTCCTGAAGTAAGCACACCAAAAATAAGCTTCTTTAGCCAATTTTGCTTGCTTTATGTCAATATTAGCCAGCATTACGTGCAAAAAAGAATGCTTATTTTTCGGCGGAATACCAGTAATTATTAAATTATAAATAAGCTGTTAGTAATTGGGTATTTCATTATCATAAATATCCAAAGGGTGGAATAATTTAAATTGTAAGAAGATTTATTAGGTTATTAATACTTAAATAAGACCGTTTAAAGTTGATTATTAGTTTAACGTCATCCCCCCTCTCGGTTAACTGTCCCCCGGAATTTAAACAAGCCAATCACAGCACAGCATAAGCTTCATTAATCATGTGATTAAGGTTGACCAATGAGATTTGATCAAGTATTTTTGGAAATATATGTGTTTGTTTAAATTTTCCCCTCCCCCCTCGTGCCTGAGCCAAAAATATTGACGTTAAACTAATAATCAACTTTGAACGGTCTAAAGTTAAATCTGATTGATAATCAATACTTTTTTTTAGATTTAACTGAAGACTTAAATTCTCCAGAAGAAAAACTAAAAATCCCAGTCATTTCTAGTGTGATCGTTTCTCTTATACTTTGCAAGTTATACTTATATTTAATTTATTCTGTTCATTATGATCCAAAAGTATTTATGTTACAATCATTTTTTTGTTACAGATGTTTTGATTAATGTTGCCTACATAACGCTAGTCCCATATAATGAAGCTATCGACCCTTCTGAAATTATTGCTATCGATTTTGGACGTAAATTATGGGGTGAGCCTGGAAAAATAATTATTTCAATACTTATCTCACTTTCCGCCTTTGGATGTGTGGATTCAATTGTTTTTATGTAAGGTTATTGAAATTTACGATATACTATTAATGTTTTACTGCGTTTTTTATTTACTTTCTTTCTTTAAATAGGGGTTCTCGAGCTATAGTATACGCTGCTAAAAATGGATCCATACCCGAAAAGTTATCTCATAAAAAACATGATGCCCCATTTTATGCTTTACTCGTACAATCTGTTTATTGCGCAGTGTTAATTTTCCTCCCAGTAGGCAATAACGTTTTTAAGTTTTTTTTCATCTATGTCGCAGTATTTAGCTCGGTTCCGATTAATTCACCGACAGTCATTTCACCGAATGCTCATTTAGCAGACATCACATAGGGTTAGGGTTAAGCATTTGATAAGTTGCAGGTATATATTTTTACTAAATTTCACCTGGGGTGTTGTCGGCGAAATGAGCTGTCGTTGAAGTGATTGTCGGTGAAATAATACGGACCCTATTTAGCTATGGTATTTTATGGTGTTAGTGCAATTTGCTTATTGGTATGTTAAATTAAATATTTGAGTTTTAAAAATCGTTTAATCAGTTACCTTTAACATTTACTAATTTCAAATTAGGTTTTGAAAAAAAGGGATAAGCAAGGTCAATTCACTCATTTTCGAGTACCTAAAATTTTTATTTGGCCTTACATATTATGTATATTTCTTATTGTGATGGCGTCGATGTTTCCACCAAATGGCTACGAATCATTAAGTTACAAATATTTTGTGCCATACATTGTCTCATGGGTCGCTGTATTGATAAGTGTGAATATTTGGTATTTCCACTATTATAAAAAGG